ATTCTCCTGCCTCTGCCTCCCAAGTAGCTGGGATCACAGGTGCCCACCACAACGCCCAGCTGTTTTTTGGTTGCAGCCGTCATTGTTGTTTGGCAGGCCCAGGCTGGATTCGAACCCGACACCTTAGGTGTATGCGGCTGGAGCCTTAGCCACTTGAGCCACAGGCACGGAGCCCAGAGCTTTCTTTAACCCTGTTCCCTCTTTAATTTCAGGAGTCGGAAAATTCAGATCCGAAATATTCCACCCCAACTCCGATGGGAAGTAAGTGTTTGAGGGTAACTCAATGGGGTGGGGTAGTACAGCCTGCAAGGGAAGTCTGGATCAGCCCAACTTGGCAGAAATGACTGGGGAAGGTCCTATTCTGGGGCCAGAATACCCGCACTGGGTCTAACCCTTAACCTAGAACTACCTTTTGGACTGTCATAGAGGTGAGAGACATTAAGGAGGTGGGAAGGGTGCTCCTTGAGCTGACAGAAGTTGACAGCCAAGTGGCCTAGGTCTGCTTTCCCAAAAGCCCTTGACGCACACAGCTCCAGTACATTCCAGATACCCCTCAGAGTTGGTACCTCAGAAAGGGGAAACTGAACAGGTAATAATGCTCCCTCCTCACCTACGGTTCTGCCTTGCCCACTGCTTTGGAGTGCAGGGTATCCAGGGACTACTTTCTGACATTTCTTGAATGCTCAGAGTTCCTTTCGTCTCTCTTCCACACTCACAGGTATTGGACAGCCTCCTGGCTCAGTATGGTACAGTAGAGAGCTGCGAGCAAGGTAAGAGTGGGCACGGGCTGGGTGAGGGGAGAGTTTGGGAGACCTGCTCTGCATCACTTTCCCTGATTGAATCTACCTGGAGACCTAAAGAAGGAACAAGACAGAGGGTGTTTCAGAAGGAGATACACTGGCCTCAGTGCCTGGACACCTGTCTGGCTTTGGCTCTGTTGCTTGGTGCTGGAACCAAGTTTCTCTTCTGTTATAGCCTGAGGCTTGAAGAAAGTCTCTCCTTCCCCATATGGATTCTCCAGGCTCTTAGGGATCAACCAAGATGGAAATGGATGCCCCAAGATGTTAGAAATAGTTTAAGAATTGTGTGTTCAACCTTAGTAATTCTGTAGCCCTTTTACTTTAAAAGCTTCATATTTCTTGTTTTGGGCTGGAATAATCAACAGGTCATTTCTTTTTTATTAGAAGCTCTGACTGACAGCTACATATGTCTTTGGCAAGTTAAAATGAAAAGTGGAGGATTTATTACTTAGTTAATACAGTTTGATGGGTAGGCAAAATCAATGAAGAGTGGGCCCACAAAAGGAAGAATTATCTAGGTCACAAAAAGTTTGTTTTGGGCGAGAGCTTTCTCCATTATGAGGATATCAAATTCTTTTCTGAGAAATGAGCCTAAATAAAATACAGAGTGGTTTTGGCTGGGTATAAGGTGGTCTTTAGGTAGACATGATACTGGCTGAGGTTTGGAGATCTCAAGAAATCTCACTTTGCTTGAGATTTAAATACTCGTCTCCAAATTCTCTGTGGAAAGGGGGAAGCTATCAGTAATTATAAATGATGAAAATCTTTGCCTACCTAAGGGTAAAGTGCTGAATCTATCAAGCAGGTTCTAACCTGTTCTAATCCTGTTGTTTGGCTGTTATCATATGTACCAGGACATAAATGGTCCTAGAGATAACCATTGCCCAGTACCGTTCACAGCTTAAGACTAATGAATAAGTTACTCCTGGACAAATAGAAAGTAAGATTGAGCAGTGGCTTGGGAGTAAGTGCATGCTGAGCTTCACTGAGAACTGCAGCAGGAGTCAACACTAGTTTAAATTTATCCAAGGCTCACTAGGGAAGTGGGGAGCTGTATCTGGAAGGGTATCTGCTACCAGGAGACAACGGTATGGGAAATGTTTGACTTTGTTGGACAATAGAGAAAGTCCTTGAGTCTGTTCACATGTCTCTGTCTAAGTGAGATCTACTGTATTTAAAATTGTCCCTGCTCCATCCTCTGTAGTTTGACTGATGTATATTTCTCCAAGCCACTCAGTCACTGTTGAATATTCTATAGAATTTGCTTATTATTGTTGTCTCCCTCTTCTGGAACACATGCTCCAGAAGGCAGAGATTTTTGTTGGTTTACTACTGTATTTCCAGTCACTGGATGATTGTCCTGCCTCTCCATTGAGGTTCGGCAGCCCCACCAACGCAGACCCAAGGGGCGAAGAGTGGTTCTGTACTGAAGTTTTGTGACCAGCATCTTAACTTTCCTCAGTGTTGTAGAGGCAGAGGCTTGTGCCCCAAGGTTGAGGGAGCCCAGGGGACCCAACCAAGTTCACAAGACATTGATGCATAAGAGAGAAGGTTACTTTTTAATTGAAGTGGGAAATATGTGCCCAGATTGCTTGGCATGCTAATATCAGCTTTGCCAGCCCATTCTCTCTGTAGGAAAGAGTAGATGAGAAATCATATGAAACCTAAAGATGCTTATCATTAGAGCTGAGGAGTTTGAAGATACAGCTAATATCCTGAAGCTACGAAAGCCCATTGTGTTCATGTTCACTGTCAAGATGAGAGTATTTAGAATACTCAAGGCAGGAGGCCCTTTTTCCTGGAAAAGATGCAGATTCTTTTTCTTTTCTCTTTCTCTCTCTCTCTCTTTTTCTTACTTTCTTTTCTTTTGAGACAGAGTCTTTGTCGCCCTGAGTACCATGCCATTATAGCTCACAGCAACCTCAAAGTCTTGGGTTCAAGAGACCCTCTTGCCTCGGCCTCCTGAGTAGCTGGGACTACAGGCATGCCAGTGACAATGACCTTCTAGTGTTTCTATTTTTAGTAGAGATGGGATCTCACTTTTGCTCAGGCTGGTCTTGAACTCCTGAGCTCAAGCAGTCCACCTGCTGTGGCCTCCGAGTGCTAGGATTACAGGCATGAACCACTAAACCTGGCCTCTTATTTTTCTTTCTAGACTTCACAGTAGCCATTCCTGTCAAGCCATTTGTCTAGATTAATACACTCTGTTCCTTTGAGGATATAGAAGCCTCTAGAATGGATTTGGGTGTTCCCAGGTCTCTTTAGAAACCATACATCCTTGCAGACCATTTCCTGGGACATTACGTCTATAAATTGCTAATCTCACCTAGTGTGTGTTGATTTTTCACTAGTTTAACTTTCTTTCTTTTTGAGACAGAGTTTATGTCGCCCTCAGTAGAGTGCTGTGGCGTCACAGCTCACAGCAACCTCAAAATCTTGGGAGGCTGAAGCAAGAGTTAAGCCTAAATCTGGGACTACAGGCGCTGGCTACAACGCCCAGCCATTTTTTGTCACAGTTGTCATTGTTGTTTAGCAGGCCCAGGCCGGGTTCAAACCCTCTAGCCCTGGTGTATGTGGCTGGTGCCATAACCACTGTGCTACTGACGCCTAGCCTAGTTTAACTTTCTACAGGGAAATTTACTCCCAGCATAGGAGGTGGTAGTGTTTGCCTTGCTGCACAATTGCTCATAGGGCAGCTCCACCCTTTTACATGCCCACTCCCTTGGGAGCAGAGTGAGGAAACCAAAGGAAAATTCAAGAAGATTAATTTGTTTTTTGAGAGGTTTTTTTTGAGACAGAGTCTCACATGTTGCCCTTGGTAGAGGGCTGTGGCATCACAGCTCACAGCAACCTCAAATTTTTGGACTCAAGCAATTCTCTTGCCACAGCCTGGAGAGTAGCTGGGACTGTAGGCGCCTGCCACAGCCCCTGGCTTTTTTTAGAGATGGGGTCTCACTCTTGCTCAGGCTGGTGTCCAACTCCTGAGCTCAGGCAATCCACCTGCCTGTCTCCCAGTGTTAGAATTACAGGTGTAAGCCAACGTCCCTAGCCTCTAGAAGATTAATTTGAATTTTCTTGTAGCTCAGGTGAAAGAGGTCTCAAGAGGAAATTTTTTTTTTGCCTCTTCATTCTAAGTATTTTGTAAGCTATTAATGCCTTCTTGGCCATAAGACATGGAGAGCTAGAATAATGATTTGTCAGTAGGGCTTCCAGATTTCTGTTCTGACGCTGACCTCTGTTTTTCTCTGCAGTGAACACCGAGAGTGAGACTGCAGTGGTGAATGTCACCTATTCCAACCGGGAGCAGACCAGGCAGTGAGTGGGCGGGGAGAGCGCGGCTGGAGTAGGGCTGGGGCGGGAAAGTGGGGCTGGGCGGGGGAAAATCCTCTGTGTGGGGTGTTGGGAACAGGGGTCCATGCAGGCTAGACCAGCCAAACCCAGGCTAGTTGTGAAAGGTTTGTTCATGTCTTTTTTATGTCCTTTGTTTCAGGGATCTCAAAGGTTCAGAAATTTCGGGATTGATAGCAAAATACACTGAAGGGGAGGGAGCTAAAACCCTCCCAGGGGAGGTGGGAAGTCCTCAGCGGGAGAAAAGGTCGGCTTCTGATAGTCCGGTTGCCGCGCACCGCGGGGTCTTTTACCGTGTTGGTGGCGCCATCTAGTGTTGTGAGATAGAACTGCGGGGTGCAAAAAAAAGAGTGTTAAAGTTGCCCTGTGGAGCAGACATTTTATTGCAGCAATGATTGTGAGTCTGGTTGATACTTTTAGGGTACTATCAGTCCCATCACACCCACAATTTCTAGCTCTTTAGCTCATTGGTCGAACAGTTATTCCTAACATTTCTGATTACAAACTGTCCTGGCAATGGTTGCTGCTTGTCCCTTCCTTCAATTTTAGCCCCATTTTGGAGACCTTTGAAATGCTGAGACTAGTTTTCAAGGGGAAAGCAAGCCATTCTGTCTCCAATGACTACTTATTTTCTGTGTACTTTTCTTTCTTTCTTTCTTTCTTTCTTTTTTTTTTTTGAGACAGAGCCTCAAGTTGTTGCCCTGGGTAGAACGCTGTGGCATCACAGCTCACAGCAACTTCCAACTACTGGGCTCCAGCGAGTCTCCTGCCTCTGCCTCTAAAGTAGCTGGGACTTATAGGCACCCGCCACAACTACTGGCTCTCTCTCTCTCTCTCTCTATATATATATATATTTTTTTTTTTTTGGTTGCAATCGTCATTGTTGTATGATGGGCCCAGACTGGATTCGAACCAGCTCCGGTGTATGTGGATAGCGCCTTAGCTGCTTGAGCCACAGGCCCCGAGCCTATGTACTTTTAATTAACCAAGCAGTTTAAAAACAACAAAGCCCTTAATAATTTATCCCATGTGTTCACATGTGATTCTCACATGAATCCTATAAGAATTAAGTTTGGCTGAAATTGACAAGCTGACTTAGTGTGACACAATGCAAGGGACCCAGCATCAATAACACTCTTGAATAAGAAGAATCAAATTAGAAGACATTTACTTCCAGATTTGAGAACTTATTTCAAAGCTGTGGAAATCAAATCACTGTGGTAGTGACGTCAGGATAGACATACAGAGCAATGGCATGGAATTGAGAGCCTAGAAATAAGACTTTACATTTATAATCAACTCTTGCCCTTTCTTTTAAACAAATGTGCTAAGACAGTTCAATGTTAAAGAAATAGTCTTTCTGGGGGCAATTTGATGATATCCACAGGTAAAAAGATGAATTGGTCCCCTACCTTTAAGGTCCCATTAAATTAATTCAATATGGATTACAGACCTATATGTAACAGTTGTATGATAGGTAGAGTACGGGTATCAATTTCCCACTTGTACAAGATTATTTCCCTGTCTCATACAGTTGATGAGACTCAGGTCTAGACTAAGTTGTGAGTTGCCTAGTTAACGTAACTAAGCAGTAGAGTTAAGACTGGAATACTGGTGCCCTAATTTAATCGAATATCTTTGTGCTGCATTTCTTCAGGTTGTGCCAGGACAGGTTTAGCATTTGTATTCTGTGTACATGTATTTCAATCTCTCCTTTGCCTATGTTTTCATTATCTATCAAGGTAAGATTTTATAGTAGTTAATAAGGCTCCGTAATCTAGCAATTGTATGTGTCAGCTTTGCCAGGCCCTGTCAGGTACATGATATGCCTCCAGCTGACATGGGAGTTCTTCAAGATGTATGGCTTGGTCTTCCTTTTTAGACTGGAGCACGCTATACTGCCTATTGGACGGGATGCCCATTTCTCTGATGATCTAAATAGAAGGCCTTTGTGAACAGTAAATCCCAACCAAATGTCACAAATCTATTTATTTGCTTTTCCTTTGATGTTTCTGATGCCATTCAGATTGGAAAGTCCTTGAAGGTGGAGGACAAACAGTTGTCTCCCTTTCAACTGTCCAAGTTGTAACTCTGTAGAGTGCTTTGCCTGAAGAGAGCATCCAATGTGATTGGCTTGGATAGGTGTGATCGATAATTGACTCTCATTCTATCCACAGAGCCATTATGAAGCTGAATGGCCACCAGTTGGAGAACCATGCCCTGAAGGTCTCTTATATTCCTGATGAGCAGATAGCACAGGGTCCTGAGAATGGGCGCCGAGGAGGCTTTGGCTCCCGGGGCCAGCCTCGTCAGGGCTCACCTGTGGCAGCAGGGGCCCAAGCCAAACAACAGCAGGTGGATATCCCTCTTCGGCTCCTGGTGCCCACCCAGTATGTGGGCGCCATCATTGGCAAGGAGGGGGCCACCATCCGCAACATCACGAAACAAACCCAGTCCAAGTGAGTCTTGGCTACTTGGGGAATGGAGGCTGGATTCTAGGGACAATGGCTGGTTCCTGGGGAGGGCTCTGGGAAGCATGCTGGAGGCATTGATATTTACCTCCTAAGAAATGTTGCTCAGAACATTCAGGGGTCACTGCTTGCAATCTCAGCTTCCTAGGTAGGGGCAGGCAGATGGGGAGGGAGAGCATGGGTGTCTGGGCCATGTCATTGGTGACAGTGGCTGGCACTCTCGTTACCAAGAAAAGTTCTAAAAATTTAAAAACTACTCAAGCAAATCCAAACATGGTGAGATACCCATTCTTCAGTGTTCTGATGAACCGGCCCGAAGTTGGGGCCCTCAGTAATGGGTCTTAATTGGGTCCTGTTTCCCCATTCTGCCACAGCCATCCCTTTTCCCCTGTCTTTAGAGCTGATTGGTATACTCAGTAGAAAAGTACAGAAATTATGTCCTTATAGATAAGTCCCATTGTTATTTACTTTTAGTTTGGGACAGTGTGTCTTCCCTTTATATTTGTTTCAAGGGGAGGGAATGCATAGAATTTAAGGGGACATGCAGCTTTAGAGCTGAGGGCTGGTAATCCCTACCCTGGATCTATGTGATAGATTGACTTATTGTCACCAGTCAACTCCTGGTTGAGATATTGATGGTCTGCAACAGAATCCAGAGTAGCAGACTGGTCATACTTCTCTGGGCTTTCATTGTCCTTCCCAAATCTGCATTTGATCAGCTTCACTCCGAGAGTGAGTTTTATCTCTTTGATAGAGGAGAGCTGGGGAGAACCAGCCCTGCTGGGGACAATTAACTAGCGTTGTTCTTGTGGTCCCAGGATAGACGTGCATAGGAAGGAGAATGCAGGAGCAGCTGAAAAAGCCATCAGCGTCCATTCGACTCCTGAGGGCTGCTCCTCTGCCTGTAAGATGATCTTGGAAATAATGCATAAAGAAGCAAAGGACACCAAAACGTAAGGCTTCAACTTTCCTTACAACTTCACTGGCTGCCAGTACCTGCTTCGCCCTGCCCCAAACTTGTTACAGCAGTGATGCAGAGATAAAGGAGACATAGTCAGAAATTGTACAAAAGGATATAAACTGAAAAATGAAGCCCTCATTCCTACACCTTTTGTATAACCTAGAAGTTCTGTGCATGCCCAAGGATGTGTATGTTTATGTACGTGTGCATGCATATGCCTGTCTTACCTCCACGGGGATCATACTGCACGTGCTGTTCTATGCTTTTTCATTCTGTGTATCAGTATCTGTCTCAGTACACATCAACATGTTGTTCTTGTAGTTGCCTAGAATTCCACACTTAGGGCTATCTATAGTTCCTTTTTTTTGAGACAGAGTCTCAAGCTGTTGCCCTGGGTAGAGTGAGGTGGCATCATAGCTCACAGCAACCTCCAACTCCTGTGCTTAAGCAATTCTCTTGCCTCAGCCTCCCAAGTAGCTGGACTATAGGCACCCACCAAAATGCCAAGCTAGTTTCTGGTTGTAGTTGTCATTGTTGTTTGGCAGGTCTGAGCTGGATTCGAACTGCCAGCTCTGGTGTATGTGGCTGGCGCCTTAGCTGCTTGAGCTATAGGTGCTGAGCCATAGCCATAGTTCATTTAACTAATCCTTGGATTTCTTGATAAGTGTTTGTAGTGCTTTAAAATTTTCTTTATTAGGGCTAGGCATGGAGGCTCACGCCTATAATTCTAGCACTCTGGGAGGTCGAGGCAAGTGGATCTCAGAGCTTAGGAGTTGGAGATCAGCCTGAGCAAGAGCGAGACCCCTGTCTCTAAAAGTAGCTGGGCATCATGGCATGTTGCCTGTATTCCCAGCTACATGGGAGGCTGAGGCAAAAGGATCAATTGAGCCCAAGAATTTGAGGTTGCTGTGAGCTATGATGTTACGGCATTCTACCAGGGATGACAAGGGAGACGATTTCCAAAAAAAAAAAAAAAAAGGATTATAGATATATATATATATGTATATACACATTTTTTTTTTTTTTTAGAGACAGAGTTTCACTTTGTCCTTTGTCGCCCTTGGTAGAGTGCTATGGCATCACAGCTCACAGCAACCTCCAACTCCTGGGCTCTTGCCTCAGCCTCCCGAGTAGCTGGGACTACAGGCACCCACCACAATGCCCATTTATTTTTTTTGTTGTTGTTGCAGTTTGGCCAGGGCCGGGTTTGAACCTGCCACCTTCAGTATAGGGGGCCGGTGCCCTACCTACTGAGCCATAGGTGCTGCCCTCAAAA